CATGAGAAAGAATGGGGTGTCAAAAGAATGTGATCACAATGAAGGTTTAACCTCATGTATCTGTATAAATATTATGAAATTGGACATTGATTATATGTGTTATTTTAAATCTTGGTTGTAATCTTCTTGTTATATATCCAAAAGGAAATGAATGCTGTTTGTGTTTTCAGGCAGTGAGATTGCGGATTCTGATGAAGCAGGGTGCGTGAAGTTGCCGTGTCCACTGGCCATGTGGGATCTGGGTCACTGTGACCCCAAACGCTGCACAGGACGCAAACTAGCCCGCAAAGGTTTGGTACGCTGCCTCAGGCTCAACCAGCGATTTAATGGCCTCATTCTGAGTCCCATGGGCAGCAGATACGTCACGCCTGCAGACAGGTGAAGGTCTCAAACAAATGCGGGATATCACGTTTTTAAGCTTTGTATCTCATTAGGATGTAAAGGAAGGACACTTATCAAATATAATATTGTGTTGCTGTATCTTGATAATATGATGGGCCTCAAGAATTTAGCAGAGGATGGATGGAGTTGTGCCCTCTTGGTCTTGTAGTCTATTCCAGGCTGTAACACTTTCTTTCAGATGTCCTCAGTTGTCTCCTTTCCTCTTGGCTTGTACAAATAGTGGTTTTATTGGTTCCCTGTCTTTTTTTAACTCAATTTTGCTACACCACTTTCATAAAGACTACTAATTTCATGTCAATCTGTTACCCCTTTTGGCTTTACCAACTGTAATTGCATCAACATACATTTGGAATCAAAACACATGAAACATCACACAACTTCATACAAACTTTTAAGCAGAACTGTAAAAAAAACTAACTTTTTTCACCTCTAGAGATATTGTGGCACAGGCTGGACTAGCTGTGATCGACTGTTCCTGGGCTCGCCTTGAAGACACTCCTTTCAATAAAATGATCGGGTCACACCCGAGGCTTTTGCCATATTTGGTCGCAGCAAATCCTGTGAACTATGGAAAACCATGCAAGCTGTCCTGCGTTGAGGCATTTGCTGCCACCTTCTGCATTGTGGGTAAGAATCAACAAAGCGTTCGCTCAATTGTTCACTTGTATTTTACCTCGTCTATTGATTGTTGCAAGGGTTTCGGGAGCTAGCTGTGATTCTTCTGAGGAAGTTCAAGTGGGGTTTGGGTTTTCTGGAGTTGAACAAGACTCTTCTGGAGCGTTACGCTTCCAGCCAATCAGAAGAGGAGCTGCTGGCTGTGGAGAAAGATTTTTTCAGTGCCACACCTCCCCAAGAGGAAATCGGTAGGTTTAAGTCCCCAATTATTCATATGTTAATCTTGTACTGAAATAAAATCTATTCCTTTGTCAGTAATACAGAGTGGAGGTCTATACACTTGTAAACAGCTGCAGCACGCTTCAAGTATTGATTGTGTAGTAACTCTCCCGCACATTAGATGGCACTGGTTTTTCACTGCCTTTTTCAAACATCACTAACTGTAGGCCAGTCACAAAAGAAAGAAAGATGTATTGTCGATGTATTGGCCTTAATCTCTAGATTTTTTTGGTTTGAAGGAAGGATGAACCTGTCATATTCCAGCAAACGTGAAGAGCCAAGCTAACATGACAATTCAATGGCATTTTTTAAATGTATGTGTTACCAAGTGATCTCTATATTTGCCTTACAATAAAGTTAAAATGTGAAAACGTTGTAGAATTTCAATAAATAATTATTATCGGGGGCAGTACCAAATTTCACCTCTGGGGGCCAAACAAATGAAAATTGTATTTTATAGTCATTGTACATTTAACACATTTTATCACCCCAAATGATATCACCCCAAATGAAACATGAAACGTGGTTTCATTTTACATATATATTTGTATTTTCCCCAGACCCTTTTGACGTGGACTCAGGAAGAGAATTCGTGAACCTCAACAGACCAAACCAGTGAGACGCTTTTACAATTCCACTCTGATGTTGTTTTTTTGTTGTTTTTCATTTAAGATTATGTTTTTTTGGCATTGCCTTTTTTATTTGTTTTGTTTAGGACCATGGAGAGAGCAGTGTTTCTTATAGCTGTAGGGGTTTACAATGTGAGCTATTCTTGCTTCTTGTTAAATTAAGTAAATTACTAATGTAATTAGATTGGAAAGCATCTATCCGAACGCTACAGTTACACAGCACCTTTGCAGTAGCTGAGTTACCACTACGTGCAAAAGATTGGGGAACACCTCCATAAACTAATGCGGGAAGGACCTCAACATACTGAATTAATGGGGCATTGCACATAGAGCTATATAGTATTATACTGCTCCGAGACCAGTGTGAAAATGTATCTCTTTGGGAGTTTGTGACTAAACGTAAGGAAGGTGCTCCTTTATATTACCACATTCCCCTGACTGCACTTGTAAGCTAGGACCCACACAAACAATCGACTGCTGGCACTGTTAGCGCCACTTCCCGCAGAAACCTGGTTTTCCCCTCTGGTCCCCCATCCGGGCTTATAAATACCCTGAACTACCCTGAAATAAATCATTCATTTATGGGATTACACTAACGTCACAATTCTGAGCGCAAAAAGCCCTATTTTGAGACTGCAAAAAAAGTTCTTCTCGTAAATGCAAATTTATTATGAGAGAGCAAAAATTAAATTTGAGGGTAAAATGTTTATGCGTGTGCGCAAATGTTCTTGTTTTCTCTCGCGACAATGCCGTTGTTCACGCTCTCGCTTGAAACAAACAACTATTACAAACTGCTACATTCCAGCCAATCAGAGAGGGGTTCTATATTCTGATTGGCTGGCTGGTAAACCAGTTACAACCTTCTCTTTTTTTTATTTTTGCACTGTACAGCTAAACAAGGAAAAGATGTGTATATACAGTAAAGAATTAATGTAAAATGTGAATGTTTTACTGTCTATGGATCGTGGTCTTGGAAGTCTTGGTCTTCACTGCATGGATGGATTTTCCAAACTGTCAGTCATTTTATCATTTTTTCAATCCTTTTTTCAATCCCAAAGTTTTTCTACGTTTCACTTGTTCAGCTGAGTACAATTGTACAATAAATGGTTAATAAAAAATTGTAGTGCGCCGTGGCATAATGGGTGTGCAGTATGTAGCACTGGGTTTCACTCAAAATACAGTTTTCTTTGCAAGAAGAACATTTCATTCACAAAACTCATTCACAAATTGTGCCGTTAATGTAAACCCATATTTAATACGCCTGAATTGTAAGTCGCTTTGGACAAAAACATCTGTCAAATACATAAATGCACAGTACACAGGGTTCAATTTGTTTAGTTCAGTTTTTTAGTTAATTTGTTTAGTTTCACAGTTCATTCAGAAAATGATTGAAGCATTTACCAATAATGTTTGATATTTAAACAGGAATGAGGATTCTGATGACAGTGACGAGACCTCAGAAGAAGAAGAAGAAGAAGAACATGATGATGATGATAAAGGGGTTGAGGAACAACAGAAACCTGATGATGATGCACAAAGTGATCATGGGGCTGGAACTGTTTAATGTAAACAATTCCATGCCTTTGAGCTCAAACATGGGATAATGAAAACCAGGATTAGATTCATTAACATTGGCCTTCACTTAAAATGGAAAAATGGATGACTATTGAAAACTAAACTGTAACTTCCCAAACTTTTTATTACGTGTAAAATATCTTTGTGATCATGGTAGGTTTGGGGAAACGGTTTTGTTGGAATACGCCAACAACGGGTTGGCTGGAAATAAGTAGCATTTAAAGTTTAGATAAATATTTAACATGGAGCCGATTTATATATATTTTTTGGAATAAAATTCCAGCTTTGTAATACTTTTTGTGTTAGTTTGTAAATAAATTGGAAGGAAAGGTGTATAATAAAAGTATGGTGTGCTAAAATACTTTACCAATTTCTAATGTATAGAACCTTTTATTGAAACCGAAATCAAGTTTAATCTGAGAATATTTTCACCTCATCTGAAAAGGTTTTAGAGATAATATGAATCTATTATATTCATATGTATTTGAAATGTATAATTGTTTTGAAAATCAATAGTATTTTCATTTAGATTAAAGAGTAATAGATTTTTACTTTAAACCTCTGTAAAGTAGAAACGAATCTATTAGAAACAGCACATTTACTATTAGTTAATAAATACATCTGATTATCAAATATTTTGAAAACTCTCAACATTGTGTGCAAACAGTGAACCCGATACATTACATTTTCTTTTCTGGATTGTTTTTAATGTGACTAACCGCTGAAATGAATGTAGCGTATTCGTCAGACAATTACATTAGATCAAAAACAAAGGAACGTAAATCTCAGGTTTGTTAATTCCTAAGCGCTCAATGCTAGGGTTTACCTTCTTTCTCATGAAATACTGAATAAATGCAGTGTGGCGTGGAGAAAATCATCTTGTGGCACTGCTAAGGTGCAGTGGAAACCCAGGTTGCTTTGTTGTCTGCTGCATTGTTACTTTGGTGTCTCATTTTCTTCTTGACTATACCCCAGAAATATTCAATGAACTAGCATTTGGTAAATGTACCCATAAAGTTTGTTGGAAGAAGAATAAAAAGTTCTTTAATTTTTTAAATCTAGTGGACTGATCCCAGAAAGATGTGGCCCCCAAAAATCACAAACTAGACACTGGACTTCTTTGACTTCCTCCAGACAAACAGATATGGGAACAGTTCATTTTTTATTTCACTATAACCTCCGTTATGTCCCTGGATTACAAGGAGCTTTTCAGGAATGTGTCATTTTTGTGTATATAGAGTGTAAGTTGCAGAGAGAAGTGAAAGTGACCCATACAAGGAATTTGTCCTCTGCATTTCACCCATCCAAGTGCACACATACACAGCAGTAAACAAACACACCCGGAGCTGTGGGCAGGCATAGCTGCGGCGCCCGGGAACTTGCTCAAGGCCACTACAGTAATGGTTATCACCCTCGACTCCCATTCGAGCTAGGGATTGAACCAGAGACCTTTTGCTCTCCAGTCACATTGTCTTCTTTCCCATGACTGTTCACAAAAGTTCCTTCAAGCTGGAGTCGAACCAGTGACCTAAGGATTTCCACTTTACGTTCTACAGTCCTCCGCTTTACCAACTGTGCATCAGAAAGCCATTACAAGTGACATAAAGCCTATACACACTCAAGCGGTCAGTGTGAGTTTGACCCATGTATACAGTAAAAATGGAGAAAAGCTTTTGTGCGATTGACTGTTCGAATCTCTTTTCAAAGCATTTTCAAATAAAATTCCTTGGAATTCAAGAGATGACACAGAGATTTGTGGTTCTGTGCCTGTAAGTCAAGACTAAATCAACATATCTTAAATTAATCTTTGTGTTTTGTGCGGATTACAGTTAAAGCCTTAGTTGTAACTTAAGCCAAGCACGAATTAAAAGAAATACTCAAAGTTTATTGACATTGTGATTTGTAGTGAGAGCAGAGAGCAGGTGGAGGAAAACCTGGAAAGTTGGAGGTCAGCTCTAGAAAGAAGAGGAATGAAAGTCAGTCGCAGCAAGACAGAATACATGTGTTTGAACGAGAGGGAGGGAAATAGAACAGTGAGGTTACAGGGGGCTGAGGTCAAGAAGGTGCAGGAGTTTAGGTATTTGGGGTCAACAGTCCAGTGTGACGGGGAGTGTGGAAAAGAGGTGAAGAGACGAGTGCAGGCAGGTTGGAGTGGATAGAGAAAAGTGTCAGGGGTGTTGTGTGACAGTAGAGTGTCAGCAAGAATCAAAGGAAAGGTGTACAGAACAGTAGTGAGAGCAGCTATGATGTATGGGTTGGAGACTGTGGCAGTGATGAAGAGACAAGAGGCAGAGATGGAAGTAGCAGAGATGAGGATGTTGAGGTTCAGTTTAGGAGTGACTAGGATGGACAAGATTAGGAACGAGCACATCAGAGGGACAGCTCAGGTTGGAGACAAAGTCAGAGAGGCCAGATTGAGATGGTTTGGACACGTGCAGAGGAGGGATAGTGGTTATATTGGTGGAAGGATGTTGGACAGTGCTTAATTTGTTCCGCCGTTTGCCGGAACGCAATCCGTTTTCTCTCAATTTCTGGCTTCCAAGGATCCGGAAAATTTTATTCTGGGATCCGGTAATTATCTGACCCCATTTGTCTTTATCTGCCCAATTCTTGCCCACCTTTTTCACTCTACTGTACTACAATGCATTCCCCTGACTCAAGAATATACAGAGCACTCGCCTATGGTGTGCCAGGCTGCCTTCGTCGTAGGCTGGTGCTGTCCCCTGCAGTCGGCAGGCCGGCCCGTATTATGTGGAAATTAGCGATTAGATAAAAAAATATTATAAAATAAAATAATTAATAATTATTGTGTTTTATTTATTGTGCCTTGTATAATGTAAAAATAATAATATTAAATAAAATGCACTACTAGCAAGTCTAAAAAGGCTGCTGCTGGGTATTTTACGTCCTGTACGTAATTTATTTTTAGGCGGCATTTGGCCAAAACAAAAAGTGTCCTGACTCCTTCGTGCTAACTGTCTAAAAGACAATCAAGTTTGCCTTCGTTTTTTTAAAAGAAACGAAGACTCAAGTCATGTTGCTCCAAAGCAAGCCAGAACTGCAGTGCGGGCTGCTTCTGGTAGTACCAGTGCAGATGACCACAATGCTAACCGGGTTCACACAGTGGAGGGTGAGGCAGAGGCGGCCACTACAACGACAGCAATCCCGGCGAGACTTCAGCGGGAGTTCGAGGCTTCAGCGACCGGACCTTCTAAGACGGTATTTTACACCGGAAAAACAGATTATGGGTGAACTAGCAGCTAATTTGGGGCTTTTCAGCAGGGAGAGGGCGAGATGATATTGAAGATTAAGATAAATTGTGTTGAAAGTAATCTAAAGGTTTTTTGTGTGTATATGTCTTAAATTATGTTGTAAATGATGTATGTAAGTCCTGCTGCTTAGGCATATTAGACACTGAACCATTGCGTTCTGTTTGTGTTCCAGCAACTGTTTTGGGCCAGCCCCCCTGTCTGTCACCCCAGTCCTGTTGTGTTCCAGTAACTTCAAATTTACAAATTAAGCACTGATGTTGGAGATGGAGATGCCAGGCAAGAGGTCAAGAGGAAGACCAAAGAGGAGATATATGGATGTGCTGAAAGAGGACATGAAGTTAGTTGGTGCACGGGTAGAGGATACTGAGGACAGAGTTAGGTGGAAAAGGATGATTCGTTGTGGCGACGCCTAAACTGGGAACAGCCGAAAGGAAAAGTAGAAGACTCAAAGTTTATCGCACTCAAAAGCTGTCTCTATGGTGATTGAATTTTTTACATTTGAAGTGTTATTTGGAATATTCTTTTATGCCATTGACTGTGTTTTACCTGCACAGACGTGTGACCCTGAGTGAGCGACAACATTAACTTCAAAGCTCAAAATTTATACCAGGAGCATTACAACCAGAATGTCTGTAGATGTCTTCTTCTTATATGGCCTTTTCGTGGTTGGCATCTTGGTTAAAAATGTAATTTATACATCTTTGCAAGTCTCCAATGAACCCCATTTCAAACTTTGAGATGGCCGCTACAGAACCTTCACTTTGTTCTGGTGTAGCCGATGACGAGTGAATTTGGCCTTGTTTTCTGGATCATTGTCGTGTTGGAATATCCAGCAATGTTCCACGTGCTGCTTCTGGACTGATGAGTGCAAATTTTTCTCCGGTATCCTTTAATAACATACGGCATTCATCTTCCCCTAAATGTTTTCATAGATTTTGATCAATATAAGAAAATTTAAAAAACAGTTAAATCTCCATATAGGTTGGCACTTATTGGTAATCTACACCCCCACTTGAACATTAAGGTCAGTGAATTATCTGCTCCCCACTTCGCCTAAAGTAAATTATTAACCTGAGTGTTTTTGCTCCACAGCTGTGGAACTCACTACCACTGTCCCTTAGGTCCATCTCTGGTCCTTTAAAGGAAAATTAAAAACTCTTTTTTAACCTAGCATTTGGTAATGAGGAAAAGTAGGGATGGACACTCACTGTTGTTTTTTAGAATGTTGTGTTTTTACCTTTCTGTATAGTATTATTACTATTATTGTTTAGTGCACTGGTCAATCTTGTTGTTGTAGTGTAGCTCTTTATAAAATAAACTTTGATTGATTGATTTATCAAGTTTCCTGTGCCTTTGGAGCTCACACATCCCCAAAACATCAGTGACCCACCTCTGTATTTCACAGTAGGGATGTTCAGTTCATATTGACTCATCTCCAAATGATATGTTTCAGCCAAAAACGTCTCAAGAAGTCCTTTGTGTCGGGTTTTTGTACATGCTAAAATCACTAGGATGAGTAAACTTTTGACCAGTGTCATATTGAAAGTGTTGGTTGTCATTATGATTTAAAAAGAGTAAACACAGCTGTTTGACAAATCTAGCCACAGGGGTTGCAAGCCAGTGACTTCTGTGCCGGTCCCAAGCCCGGATAAATAGAGAGGGTTGCGTCAGGAAGGGCATCCGGCGTAAAATATGCCAAAACCAAATATGCGAGTCACCAAATCGATTTTCATACCGGATCGGTCGAGGCCCGGGTTAACAACGACCGCCTCCGGTGCTGTTGACTTACAGGGTGCCGGTGGAAATTGGACTACTGTTTGTCGAAGAAGGAGAGGAGGGAGAAGGATTCGTCGACAGAAAGAGAAGAGGAAAGGCAGGAGTGTAGATCTGAGAATAGGGACTCTTAACGTTGGTACAATGACAGAGAAGGGTAGGGAGCTGGCGGACATGATGGAGAGAAGGAAGGTAGATATTCTGTGCGTGCAGGAGACCAGGTGGAAGGGTAGCAAAGCGCGTAGTATTGGAGGGGGATACAAACTGTTTTACTATGGTGTGGATAGGAAGAGAAATGGGGTAGGAGTGATCCTGAAGGAGGAGTTTGTGAGGAATGTTTTAGAGGTGAAAAGAGTGTCAGACAGGGTGATCAGTTTGAAGTTAGAAATTGAAGTGGTG